CTACATGCATATAGCTCCTTCATTTCAATATGATCTTGTTCTTCAATCCTAAGTAGGGGGCCAGCAAGTATACTATGTCTTTTTTGTGTTGTGTTATGGTAGGACTATAGAAAGCCTGCATACGTCGTTTGCTACAGTTAAGACTTTTCTCACATGTCACAGAGATGGCCATTAAAAACACGTGGCCATCAACATTTTTGCCCAGTTACAGTGAGTCAGACATAACGATAGCACTGAATGTTGATATAACTGACTATGATAATAATAATAATATATGATTGTATGATTGTACTGATCCTTAAGAAAACTTCAACCAAAAGATTGTTAAAAGCCATGTCATGTCTAAGGCACATGCGTGCCCCGTTTGAACAAGTAATAAAAAATCTTTCATGTCAAAAGTCATAAAGGAATTTAGTTGAGAAACGTCTAGCAATTAAGCTTGAGGAAATATTTCACCACGCTTTAGCACACAGCATCTTTATGGCAGACAAAATAGATCCGTTTGAAAGGACAGGATAAAAGCTACGCCATGCTACACTATTTGTACAAATCATAAACTTCAGACATTTGGTCATCCATCAGAAACATTAAAATATAATTATATGCTTTCGGAAGCATTTCAACACGCCCTTTAGTCAAAATGTTTTAAGAAGACAAAGTGGACCAGTTACGTAAAGGAAACATTTACAATTATATGGAAAAGCATAATACCTTTACAAAGTTTTACTGTTTGTAAAGGATTAACGGTTCAGCATTGATTGCTGGAAAACGAAGCTTGTTTAAGTCGTCAAGGAAATAACTTAAATTGTTCCATCTGTATGTATAGCATCAAGTTATTTAAGAAATGTGAATGAAGACTCTCACTGCAGCTGCGGTGAAACACTGTTGTTAGGCGAGATTTTTGGCAGCTGTGTATATATGTACGTAAGTACATATATACACAGTATATACGAAAATTAGGAATCCAGACGAATTTAATCCTTCTAGGATTTTAAGAATGAGGAAAGGTGGGGGTGTTGATGGTACAGTGGTTATAGCACGTGTGTGCCTTTCATCTCTGGTTTCAATTTGACCTTCGTCACTTAAATAATACCACGTGCAGGTTTACTCCGCGGCCTCCTGTAGTAACACTGTCACTGGACCAATAAGGGATGACTCCTATAGGGACCTCTAGGGAGGACAGTTTAGAATAGAACTGATAGAGCTATCCAGTATAAATAAAGTTACTTTAGTTTAGGTTTCCTCCTGTAGCAACACTGGATGAATAAGGGATGATCCTTACTGAATCTCTAGGGAAAACAGTTCAGAACTGATATAGCTATCCAGTATAAACAAAGTTAGTTTAGTTTAGGTTTCTTCCTGTAGTAACATTGGATCAATAAGAGATGATCCTTACTGGACCTCTAGGAAGAACAGTTTAGAACTGATAGAGCTATCCAGTATAGATAAAGTTAGTTTAGTTTAGGTTTCCTCCTGTAGTAACACTGTATGAATAAGAGATGATCCTTACTGGACCTCTAGGGAGAACAGTTTAGAACTGATAGAGCTATCCAGTATAAATAAAGTTAGTTTAGTTTAAATTTCTTCCTGTAGTAACAGTAGAGACACTGGATCAATAAGAAATTACTCTTACTGGACCTCTAGGGAGAACAGTTTAGAACTGATAGAGCCATCCAATAATCAGTGTGATAATAAACTTAGTTTAGTTTAGTGCAAACAAAAAGTATTGAAAATTAGAATATGGTAAAAGGTAAACTTTTGGATAATTTTTTTTTTTTTTGTATCTATGAAGAAACATTCTTTGTAAAGGATGGAACAATAATATAATTATTTAACATGACAATTTTAGTTGTGGTTACGGTTTGTCTAACAATTTACTTAGTAACTGTCAACATAACTATAACAATATTTCATCATTAATTTAACTTTACAAAAACTATGTATAAACACAGGAAAGTAGGTCTATCCCCCTGTGGGCGTGCTACCGGAAAGCGTGTAGTGATTCATTAAATTCACAATCCAAAGTCCAACTATCCAAATGTTGCATTAAACCTTTCATAAGCTTCAGTATAATGTTTAAATCCTTTATGAAAGGCTTAGTAACTGTGTGACGATAACGGAACAACGAAATGTCGCAATTATTTACTAATTGTTATAATAAATGTAATTAGCCTTGAAAAGATATGAGTTCTAATGTTAAGAGATTGAAAAGTGTGGACAAAAGACATTGGGTTTATCTATATCATTATTTTATATCCAGTAAAAATAAAGTTAACTTTATAGTTTAGTCTTCCTTCTGTGGTAAAGCTGGACCAAATGATCTTTACTGCTTGAGAGAACAGTTTTAGGACTAATAGAGCTATCTAGTATCAATAAAGTTAGGTTGTAAAAAATAATGGTTAAGTAATTGTTATCGTGCCGAGGAACTAATTTGCCGCATGAATTTCAACAATTTTTTGCATGTCAGCAAAATCCATACATTCTTCTCACCTACGCAAATTCACAAGTCTAAAAATACTCGCGTATCCGAGATGGTTGACACTTTGCATTCCTAAAAATATATGATTTTGACCCAACGTGTCAAGTGTATACTTAGAGATTACACTTTATTACTGGAGATTTTGAAGTGTTGTTTCTTTATGAACTTTTGTAGTTGATTTGTTTCAAAAATCTTCATGACAGCTTATCTTATTAAAATCCTTCCTATCACTGATTCAGTTTGAGAGGGATCTTCAAATTACATTTTGATATACACGATGTCACGAAAAGAATACAAAAGCTATATGTTTTAGATTTATTAATGGTATCAAAAATTTAATCTAAAAGATGAATTTTGACACTAAGATTATTAAATTTGTGCTGGTAGAAGCAATGTTATAGCTGTATAAAAATACGGTCTGGTTCATCCAGATGATTATTGACATTGAAATCATTCATCAGTTGTGTAATTGTGTTAAGTATCAATAGGTTTGATGACCTCTTTAAACATTGGGTCTACTATATATAGATCAATTTTTATACTCTTATATACTGTCAAAATTTATCTCTAATAATTATCTGTAAAAAATCTGCAACATATAGCTTTTGGATTTTTCCGGGACACCCTCATGTATATAGTGTAGATTTTGAGGTAAGCTAACCTATGCTGTATTTACACTATCTTAGGCCAGGGTATAAAAGCCCATTTCCACTCAAGAAAATTTCCACGGACTGAAAATTTTCCGAAAATATCATTGTTAAAAGTTGAAAATTTTCAACTTCAAAGACGGTCAATCACATTTATAAAATTTTATTTCTCCGGAAAATTTTCCTGAGTGGAAATGGGCTTTTAGAGACACTCTCTGACATTTCGTAAACTGGCAAAGCACATTTATATATATACATGCACAGTAGACTGCATTGTAAATTTTTCTTGTTGGAAACTCTCCTATGTATAGCACGACTATCGTAAATGGGCTGTTGTTTTATAGGCAGTTAAAGATTAAACTAAATTCCATCAGTATTTTTATGGCGGTCAAGAAAACTGTTGACATTACCCTGGATTAGTTGAAGAGCTAAAAGATAAGACGATTTCTTAAAATATTTACTCTCGGATTATGTACCCTGTCTAGGCATTCCGCCAAATATTTTTTCTGGGCTGTTCATTTTAAGTCTGGTTTACGTTATCAAAGTTTCTGTGATCACAGTAGGAATTTGGCATAGGTAAGTTCTAAGTTTTGAAGGATTTGTAAGAAATGCTTGAGGAAACTGACTTAGTGTTTAACACCTCATTATAGTTCCCTCAAACATTTCTTACAAATCATTCAAAACTTAGAATTTACCCATGCAAAATTCCTACTGTGATCACAGAAACTTTGATAGTGTAAACCACTGAACACAGAGCACAGCTAAGGTGCAAGAGTTAAGTTTTGAAGGATTTGTAGGAAGTATTTGAGGGAACTGGGTCAGTGTTAACAGTAAGTAAGCTCCTTCAAACATTTCTTACAAATCATTCAAAACTTAGAATTTACCCATGCAAAATTCCTACTGTGATCACAGAAACTTTGATATAGTGTAAACTTTAGGAAACATGAAATATGCACAATGATAACGAGTGTATATGTATATGATTGAAACTTATATTAGACACAGTTTCGTTCCAAATTATACGCATTCATACATTGTATTTCATGCAAATTTGTCTACCTATAATTACGTGTAAAATGATTCAAATACCATCAATTTAATATATATTTAGCTTAAATTAGAATATTTATAATTCCATAGTGCACGTATTAGTAATTATACCTTGTTTGATTTTACAGATAAAATCTTCATTCAAATTTACCAGTATGTTCTTATTGCACGTGATACTGTATAGTTTGTATTAATATAAAATGACACGATGTACAACAGTTTTACATTGATATGTCATGCATGATACAACATATGTTCATGACTTGTCTTGAAATGTTAGAACTCAACCTATAAAAAAATCAATACATGTATGTATTGCCTCTGGGTATTGGCATTGATGTCATAGCCATTTCACAGTTCAAGCTGATGTCAATGTTTCATAAAAGCTCCAATATGCATGGTCGTAATATACTGTACTCTATCTATAAAACTTAAATACATCATTAGAGGTGCGATGATCCTTCTGCTGTGATTCTAGCATGCTAGTCATGTCAAAATTCTGTGATCTAAGTCATGGTTGAGAGATCATTTACATGGTACAAAAAAGTCACTGACCACTTTTTTGTCTTACAATGCTTGAACAAACGTATTTCTAAATAAAGACGCAATATATTTGGGAAGTTCCCGGATCTTGTGGGCTCTAGCTGTATTTGCCATAAACTGACATGCCCAGGCATTTCACAGTTTGTCAGTTGTCAGGAATTTAACTCGCTCTCTACGACACTTTCCGGCTGTGTCATCGAGTGTACCAGAATGAGGAACTATAATTAACTCATTGTATCGCTAATTGCCGTCAAACAAAGAGAGAAAATTCCAGACGTCAGGGATAACTGCCTACTTAAGCGGCGAACTTGACACTCGCTAGTCACAAGTCACAAGCTAGCGAGCTAGTCACAGCTAAAACCTGAGGAAGAGAAGAAGACATTGAAAATTTCAAAGTAAAAGAACAGTACTAGACGAAAGATTCTATATAAGAGTATTTCAAGTACAAAAACGATGAAGAGCATTTTTACATTCCTCGCTTTCGTTTTGGTTTGTTCCATCTTGCTTTCCTCCTTCGAAGAGGCAGAAGGTGTGGGTTTCATTACCGAGTGGACGAGGCCAAGTCGCTCCGGCAGATCTTCAAAGAAGAGTAATGGAAAGAGCAAAAATCTAAAACGACAGTTGAAACATCAAATGAAGAAGGTGATGAGGAGCTTGAGGAAGGCCAGACAAAGTGAAGCGATTCTTCGTCGTATGTTGCACGCGGTAAGTGGTTGAAACCTTATAAGATCGACGCTTAAGACGGTCCGCTAACGGCAAACGGCAAATTTCAAATCCCAGGTAAATTTTACAGGTTTTCGACAGCTAAGTCATGCTTCAATTTTGATGCACAATTTGTTCTACCTTCGAACAGCTAACAGTTGACTTCGAAATACGATTTGAAGTTTAGTGCCGTTTACGGTTAGCGATTTGCCAACAATGTCTCTCATTGAAGATATTTACATTTAGATGATAGGGTGTATTTATAGAGAAAATGACACGTTGATGCCAATCTTAATTATAAGTTTGGAAATAGGTATATAATAGCCGTTAAATTCTGATTTTTGCATAACTTGGAACGCACAAAATTTTTAAACCACGGTTTAAATAGGGGCTGGAATCTATACTGCATCTATATCCTCTTGGGAGAACAGTTTAAAACTGTCCAGTTTAAATAAAGTTTAGTTTAGGTTTCCTTCTGTATACTAACATACTGGACTAATGAGTAATTACAAAGGGCTCTTTATAGCAGACCTCTAGAGAGAACAACGGGGAACTGATAGGGCTATCTAGTACTCAGTGGAACCCTTTTCAAAAAATAGAATTGAAATGAGTCAATGCCCTGTTGATGTTGTTGAAAGTATGACTTGGTGGCAAAATACTTTGGTTTGTTTATAGTTACCACGCATATTTACTTTCACCCACTGTGAACGTTTGTTTAAACAGAAAAGTTTGATCTTGCGGTTACTAACGTAAATTCAAATCAACAAGACGTTTATTAGACTCAAGTATACGATTAAAAAATAAACACTTTTGAAACGCTATTAATAGTTTAAAATGCCTGGAAAAATTTCAGTGATTCGTGGCAGTGTTAAGTACCGTTTGTATAAAAGCGATGCCGTATTGTCTGACCGCAAATATGTCGTTTTCAATTTCGATACAATAACAAGTCGAACTAAACTAACTTTATTTGTACTGGATAGCTTTGTCAATTCTAGATTGTTCTCCCTAGAGGTCCAAGGAAGGATCATCTCTTATTGATCCAGTTTTACTACAGCTAGGAGGAAACCTAAACTAAACTAACTTTATTCATGGATAGCTCAATCAGTTCTAGACTGTTCTTCCTAGAGGTTTAGTAAGAGGCATTCTGCATAACTGAACGAGTTCTTACACAAAGACAGTTGAATTGTTATGCGTGGATTATTGTTATTCTATATAAATTATTATAAGTATTGTGGTTTTCAATAATAACCTTAAATTTTTCCTATTTTTAGACCATACAATGAATCATTGCTGGTTCTGTGGAGTTCAGTAAAGACGGAGGAATGATGAGGTTCATATGTGGTGAAGAATGGGCAAATCCAAGATGGCTGCACTCAATCGAAGATGACGACCAGTCGAAATACAGGCGTTCCGTAGTGACAGGAAGTTTTACATTCTTGCACAGCCACGATGCATGCCAAACAAAGGGACTTTTGACTCGAAGTTTCCTTGGAATTCCAGAACAATCCAACAGCAATTATTTAATGAACTATTTATCTGTAAAGTATTTATTTTGAAATATGAGAAGTATGTAAAATTATTTATTTATAGCAAAGTAAAATACTCGTGAATGAATGTATAGTATATATTCAGAAATAAAATTATAAAACTTTATAGAGCTGTGGTTTTTTCACTGACAGGGCAGAGAAAAGGAATTTTCTTCCTGGGAGCACAACCTGCTGACAAAAATATCCTGCAGACCAACGGAGTATTTTTGTGCTAAATCTACATAAACATATAGCGCTCTAGCTGACCATGATTTTAAATTCAAGGAATTATGTCTGTCAACCATATATGTCGTTGCGCCCATAGTGGGACATGGATTTTAAAGTTTCCTTCAAATCTTCATTCCAACCTGCTTAATTTAACATTTCCTCCGAGCAGTACTCACGTACGTGCTCGCCTATTTTTTTCATCTCTGTGACTGAGGTTTAATTCCTGCAATATGCAGTTCTCTGATTATAATTCCACTTCAGTCACATGTGAGAAGAGTGCTTCCAGTTTGACTCCACCAAACATCACACGGGTTTGGTAAAGTCGATATAGCTCAGTATATTATGGGCATACTGTAATACGGTATACAATCTCAAACGTGCATGCGTATAGGTAGTGTTCTACAATAAGCTGTTGTTGTTTGTGTCTGAACTACCTGAAAAAGGTATCTGAAACGTGGTGGTCCAGTGTAGGTAGTATTCTATACCATAATCTGAAATTATTCTACACTCTTTATCTGAAATTATTCTACCATAATCTGTTGTGGTTTGTATCTGAACTACCTTAAAAAATATCTCAAACGTGGTGGTACAGTGTAGGTAGTATTCTACCATAATCTGTCGTGGTTTGTGTCTGAACTACATGAAAAAGATATCTCAAACGTGGTTGTCCAGTGTAGGTAGTTTTCTACAATAAGCTGCCGTGGTTTGTGTTTGAACTACCTGAAAAAGATATCTCAAACGTGGTGGTCCAGTACATAGGAAGTATCCTACTGTAAGCTGCCATAATTTATGTCTGAATTGCCTAAAAATACATTATCTCAAACACTGGGGGTCCAGTGGTGGTAGTATTCTACAATAAGCTGTCGTGGTAGTTCAGACACAAACCTGGCCCCCCACTTTTGAGATATCTTTTTCAGGTAGTTAATTTAGAGACAAACCACTCCAGCTGTCATGGTACTAAAATGCGGGGGATGTCTGGGAAGGATGATGTCTTTGTTTATATACTAGAATAATGTCTGCAAGTACTAGAATGATGTCTTTGTGTATATACTAGAATAATGTCTGCAAATCAACGTTGTCTTAGCCGAGAAAATCAAAGCTAAAGTTTATGTAAATGAACATGATTTTTTATCATATAGAATCACGAACACGGTAGTGATTTCCTCTGTCTTTTCCTCATGAATTATTAATGATTTTTTTATTTTAAGAACATATATTCAACTGTACCTATATCAATATACCCCCAGAGCTCGTACAGAGCCTCGTTTTTAGGGTCCGGCTTTATCTTGTTACAGATGCATACAGTTACATTAGATAGTAGGAAAGATCAGTGGCGAAGCTAGCCATGGCAATCGGCACTCATTATTTAATGAGGGGGGGGGGGGAGGGGGGGGGGGCACCGAAGAGAAAAGTGTTGGGTAAACAAAATTTTGAGCGAGTAAAAGGTTGGGTAAATGCAAAACAAAACAACTCAAGGGTTGGGTAATAAAAATGTATTGTCATTTCCAAAGCATGTCTCACTCAGATGTCGAAGACTAAAAGTAAAAAGCAATATCAACAATCATATGTCAATATAAGATGTAAATCAATTAGAGTTACCATTTCCTGATTTGCCAAGAGGCAAATGGTGTCTCCAAAGAAAGTACATGTACTGACAATGGACCATTTGCATTATAGACTAAATTTTGATCTAGACAAAAAATCCATCACAGCTTGAAAGAGCATCACAAAATTAGTAATTTTCGAAAGTTTCGTTGCGAAATGTTGTAAAATGCGGATAATATAGCCTTGCGAAGTTTGTCGTTTTTCAGTCATTTTGTATTACGCATTGGAAATTGACAGCCCAATCGGGTGTTGGGGCATCAATTTTCCGTTTGTAATCTAAAATGACTGAAAATTGCAAACTTCGCAAGGCTATATTATCCGCATTTTACAACATTTCGCAACGAAACTTTGGAAAATTACTAATTTTGCGATGCTCTTTCAAGCTGTGATGAAATTTTTGTCTAGACTTGTTGAGATCTAAATTTAGTCTATAATGCAAATGGTCCATTAACATGTAACAACTCGTGTCACAAAAGTGGTAAAGGACATGTGTGACAACTGAATGATGTATCCTTTTGTAAAGTTTTTGGCCAGGGGTGGGCATTTATTTTTTTCAATTGATATTTGCGGTTGGGCACAAATTTTTTTTTGGACTTTTTAATGGTTGTATCAGCAAACAAAATATTTACCAAGAAAACGTTTCTCTTCGGTGCCACCCCCTGCCATAAATAATGAGCGCTCCCTTAGTTACCAAATGCAAGACTACTGCATGTATTGGAAAGTCTTCAAAAGAGTTAACATTGCAGGCGGGGCCCCATCTGCAGCATGCTAGCATGCATAGTAGAAACTACTTAAATACAGTTTTGTAAGAAGACTCACTTGCCTAACTTTACTTTTTATAGATAATTATTACCACAACCATCAGACGCGAGCCTACAGCACTGATGCTTTGAAGTACAGCGGGTGTACAGCACAGGACGTGGTGCACTAAATGATGTGAGTAGCAACTGAGTACTTGTTTCCTATAACATTTGAACCGGATTGTGTAGTTAGAAGCAATGCTTCTACAATATGTTAGGTGAATATCATAGATATCTTATATACACTAGATAGTGCATCTAATTATTCTGCAATTCAAAAATTGAAGCCGTGATTGCAGTCTCAGTTCGTTCCCATGAAATGAGAAGATTCGTATATTTTCTATTTCTTAAACACGGAACTTAAACATGAAGTTAACCCTATTCCAAATACGTTTTTAAACTATTCAAATGATGAAAGTTATTGTTGTTTTTAAGCGTTTATTATAGCAAGTGGGAACGACCAACATGGCCGCCATCTATATTCAAATGAGGGTAACCGCTGGAATATTCTTGGCTTCAATTTTACTAAAATAGATGCGCTATATCTAGTGTATATAAGATATCTATGGTGAATATACACCACAATGGTCCATTCAAATATGAATTGGCTTCAAAATATAATCCAATATGCAAGTGTGTTCTAACTGTGAATACCTACATATTATCTGCAGATCTAAGCCATGTCTGCAGATAATAAACTGCACTATTGCACTGTATAAATTTTAAGGAATTTGAATCAACCGTATTCGGTGACACGCTCGTGTAAGCAAGCAAAAAACTTTAAAAAATCTTATGTTTTGTCATCTGTGTTGAAGATTACCACAAACTGATACAAACACATTTTTTAATCCAGTCTCACTGGTCCCATTGAACTATAAATAAACTGGAAGGCTAACTGCTATGATGAAGGCTTATGATTTGATGAAGCCAAAATAGTTTTTCTGAGTTATGAGCAGAAATACTTGACCCCAAACGTCGGGCTATATATCAAATTGAAGCTATTGAAAATTGCTATTCGGTGTGGAAATTTCAAGACTTCAGCGAAAAGAAAAATCTTTAAAAAATACAAAAACAACTGCAAAACGGCAAATTATCAGTAATTATGTTTGTAGTTTTTCAATATTTCCCTTTTAGCTAAAGTCTTGAAATTTCTACACCAAATAGAGTTTTTCAATAGCTTCAATTTGATATATAGCCCAACGTTCAGTGTTGCGTATTTCTGCTCATAACTCAGAAAAACTAAAATGCACTGGCTTCAATTTCCCCCCCTGAGTTAGCCTTCCAGTTTATTTATAGTTCAATGGTTGCAACTGACTATCAAGATTCTTTAAAACACACGAGTATTATAACAATCCCCAGCAAGTAAAATTAAGCAAATATAGCTTGTTGAAAACCGTACTGCTATAAATTTCCCTGAGTGACAAAGGTTTTTTTAGAGATTTTAATACCAGTTTATTCTATTAGTATATTGTGGGGAAAAGCAACTCTTTGGAATATAAAGCACTTATATCACCATTAAAGTTTTTTACACCTGTATGTATTCCACTTTCAGGTATGAATTTATCAAGAAAATATGGGATATCTGTACTAAGTACCAGGTGACAATGAAGAAAGTCAAGTGTATTTCTTTATAATGGTCTTCCTTGTAAAAGGCAATGGCACTATTTCATTGAACATTCAAGGAACAATCGCCTTTTAAAACAAATATGCACATTTTTATGCTCGAGTTACAATGTTTGATTTTGATATCTGCATTTTATTCGATTCATACCTTATTTTTAAGTGTTCCTCAAATATTGATTCAATACATTACCTCGGGCTGACCAATTCATTCCATCAAGATATTTGCTGTGTTGGTGTAATACATGTACTCAGGTGAATAAGATGCTTGTGTGATGTTACATACTCTGAGTGGATATCCACACTGGGCAGGCTTGAAAAATATGCCTGGCCACAGTGGGATTTGAACCTACAACCTTTGGAATACTGGCCCAAATATGCTCTGCCAACTGAGCTATACAGTCGGGGCAGTTCGAGTATGCGATATTTCGGAACTGAGTCTAGTTCCTTCGATATCAGTGTAATCTAACAACCATGATATTTGTGAATATGATGCTTGTGTGATATTACTCTGAGTGCATATCCACACCGGGCAAGCTTGAAATCCCACTGTGGCCAGGCATATTTTTCAAGCCTGCCCGGTGTGGATATACACTCAGAGTAACATCACACAAGCATCTCATTCCATCAAGTTGCTCCAGATATTCATACACTTCCTGTGAAAGAGCCAATTCCAAGTATTTAATAATTTCTGGTCACTTCCTTTCTATTTATGATTGGTTAGTTGCACAAACAAAAAAGGTGATTGGTGCATTCAAACCATTTAACAGGAAGTTTACAATTATACTAGGAAGTGTATGAATATCTTGAGGAACTTAATCAAATGAATTGGTTAGCCCAAGGTAATGTATTGAATCAATATTTGAGGAACACTTCAATTGGAACAACAGTGAAGAATTATTAAAAAAAATATTTTATTCAAAAAAAGATTTTCCAAGATAATTATATAATTACATTTAGTAATAAGAATAAATAATATAGTCAATTTCAAATCACAACAAAATTTATTCTTTATTTTTAAACACATACAACACCAATTTAATTAAATAAACTGCTCAACCAATTCTATGCATGTCAATCCCTACTTGATGGTCATCACCTACAGTAATTATGCTAGCCTAATTTGTACACTAACACAAATGGTCAAAATAAATGTAAATGTAGCAATCTTGGCTTAGCTAAACAGACCAAAATGTGTACCAATAACTTAAAGTTGTTAGCAGAAAAATTAAGGAATAAATTTAACCCATTGAGTGGCGAAGCACCCTATTTTAGTATTTTACTCTGTCTAACGCCAGACAATTTTACTCGTCAAGGGGAGAGCGCTGGCGCTTAATGGGTTAATTACCCCTCATGCACAGTATGACCATTAATTGTACTGATAATAAACTGCAAAGATCACAACCAAGCTGACCAAAGCAATCATTAAAGATTGTTGGTACAGCATATGGCTTTAATTAACACTGGTCTGAGTGGTCTCTGGCTGTAAACCTCCTCAAAGATATCAGCACTAAAATGCTTTGAACACAAACGACTATTTTTCATAGGAACAAACTTCACTGGCATAAGTTTGCTTATATTTTTCACCCATATGCTGTGCAATTCAGGGAATCTCTTCTCATCTGGAAAGCTTTGAAGTAAATGAACAATTGTTTTTAGTGTCTAGTTAATACACTCATGTTCAGTACGATACCTATAACTTACAATATAAACAATGCCACACTAGACAACACATGGTTTAGTCCACAATAAAGACAATACAATGAGTGAAAGGCTTTGTACTTTATCACATTGTTAAAATTCTCATTTGAAATTTTTTAACATAGCATTATCTGTTAGGATATCGATAGGATTTCATCACTGCATCACATCCATCAACTTGCATGAAAATAAATACTTGCTCGACAACAGCTCCACAAGCTTGTCAACATTTTAAAATTTTGTTCTGCTTTTGCACTGTAGTACACTAACATAAATTGTATTGTATGTTGCTTGCCAATAAATTTCATGAATTCACAAATTTACGCATTCAATACAGCAATACAGCATGCGTTAAATTATTAAAAAAAAAGAGATTATACGAGCCTTACGCATGTGAGGACAGGTCCTTTCTTTCAGTAGATTTTTGGCAACCAGGAATTGAACAAAAAGTTGGCATGGTTGCAAATGTCTCGTTTCAATATAGAAATTTCCGACCGAAATTTTGAATTTACTTCCTTCTGTTTTAAGCAAATTGAAAGGGGGGTGTGAATAACTTTTTTCTTCACGTTAGTATTTTAGGTCAGTGGTGTTCACCATAAATTTAGGTCGATTGTGACGTCAAAATGACGTAAATTTGGCCAAAATCCGCCATGTTTTTGGCCACACATTTTTGACTGACGAGGTATTGGAGCACGATCTCCAGATATATTAAGTATAGCCATTGAACTATAAATAAACTGGAAGGCTAACTGCTATGATGAAGGCCTATGATTTGATGAAGCCAAAATAGTTTTTCTGAGTTATGAGCAGAAATACTTGACCCCAAACGTCGGGCTATATATCAAATTGAAGCTATTGAAAATTGCTATTCAGTGTGGAAATTTCAAGACTTCAGCGAAAAGAAAAATATTTAAAAAATACAAAAACAACTGCAAAACAGCAAATTATCGGTAATTATGTTTGTAGTTTTTCAATATTTCCCTTTTAGCTAAAGTCTTGAAATTTCTACACCAAATAGCGTTTTTCAATAGCTTCAATTTGATATATAGCCCAACGTTCAGTGTTGAGTATTTCTGCTCATAACTCAGAAAAACTAAAATGCACTGGCTTCAATCCCCCCCCCCCTGAGTTAGCCTTCCAGTTTATTTATAGTTCAATGAGTATAGCTCAGTGGTAGAGACCAGTGAACTCTAATAATAACTGGAAGGCTAACTCCTATGATCAAAGTCTATGATTCGTTGAAGCCGGCGCGCGGGAAAATCAGCTTTCAAAAAGACTAAGGAGAGTTTCGAGGAGTGAAAAAAATTCTGTCAAAAGTTTGTTTTCGAGCAAAAATATGCAAGAAAAACACTTTTCCCATGGGAATACAACAATGATTGGGATTTAAACCAAGTTTCCGATTAGTTCCGACTGTTTTACATCTCTCTGCAGCAAAAAGTAAGGAATTTTGCTTTTGTATTTTGAAAAAATGACGAAAGTTTGGACGTGCCGAAGGAAATCTCGCCGTTCAACTAAAAAATATATACTATAAAACATTTTGACAGTCCCAAAACTTATGTTGTACTAAACCCCAGGTATTGTTATTGATCCTGAGCTTTTAGTCCTTGTTTTAGTCGCTCTTAAACATAAATAAATTGGCGTTTTTCAATTGATGTTATTTTCGTCATCGGCATCTTGTTGGCCACTATGAGCACTTTGAATATGGCAATATTTTTGTCAATTTTCAAATGCTTTTTTTTCGACCTTAAAACGTTCAATCTTCTTGAAACTTCGCATACAGATGTATTTTGCATGGGTATAAAAAATTCCTGAGGTATGACGTCTTAGTTTTATCTTAAACTTCCAAAAACTCAGAAAAAGCAGCCTAAAACGCGCGGTTTTTCAGACCGTTCAATCGTTCATGCTTATGATCGTGTTTTTTCGTATTTTTTTGCTAATACGTGATTTGTTTGCTTTGCGAATATTAAATTAATTTATCATACGACTGATATAAATTAAATTTGGTAGTATAACTAATATTTTTGGGCAATATTTTTCTGATCAAAAAATGTGCATATTTTGAAAAAAAAAATTAAAAAGGACTGGGTCTACCTACAAAAAAAGCTTCAAGCACGGCTTCAATTTCCCCCCCTGACTTAGCCTTCCAGTTATTATTAGAGTTCACTGAGACATACAGAGACGTAACTAGTGTACCCACTTTTTTTGTGCGCATGCTCGGCAAGTTACTAGATGCATGCATCTGATTGGATGACGACCTGATGACGACTCACTTTAAACTTGCTGAGCACGCGCAGTTGATCATTTTTTGCCCGGTCGCCTGAAAAAAAGTGGGTACATGATAACGTAATCTTCCGCAGTGTTTACAACGGTCAGTTACGTCTCTGTATGTCTTATCTACTCTGTGACAGCACATAAGCACATTACACAAAAAAGGTTTAGAAATTGTTTCAAAAGTCGCTTTTAAAAGAAGAAATGATATACAACAACAGAAAATACAACAGAAATGAAAGACGTAAAGGAATATTTAACGCAGAAACGAAGCGAGAATGAGCCGCTGAGCGGGGATTGGGCATTTATAATGGCCGAATTTACGAATTATATGAAAACAGGTCAGTGACTTGTTACACGTTCAAGTGCTACTATTTATATGTGCTGTCGTCGGCTTAAATTCGCCCACATTTTACAAAATTCGGCACACGAAATGTGTTTACTTGTCAATGATAAATAACCAATCTTATTCTGTCGGTATTTTGCGAAGATAGAGCACAGATGAGATGAATACTCGTCCATTTTTAATACCAAATGTAAGGGGGAGCATCCATACCACTGAGCTATACTTAATATATCTGGAGATCGTGCTCCAATACCTCGTCAGTCAAAAATATGTGGCCAAAAACATGGCGGATTATGGCCAAATTTACGTCATTTTGACGTCACAATCGACCTAAATTTATGGTGAACACCACTGACCTAAAATACTAACGTGAAGAAAAAAGTTATTCACACCCCCCTTTCAATTTGCTTAAAACAGAAGGAAGTAAAATAGTAAATTCAAAATTTCGGTTGGAAATTTCTATATTGAAACGAGACATTTGCAACCATGCTAACTTTTTGTTCAATTCCTGGTTGCCAAAAATCTACTGAAAGAAAGGACCTGTCCTCACATGCGTATTAAGGCTCGTATAATCTCTTTTTTTTGTAATAATTTAACGCATGCTGTAATGCTGTATTGAATGCGTAAATTTGTGAATTCATGAAATTTATTGGCAAGCAACATACAATACAATTTATGTTAGTGTACTACAGTGCAAAAGCAGAACAAAATTTTAAAATGTTGACAAGCTTGTGGAGCTGTTGTCGAGCAAGTATTTATTTTCATGCAAGTTGATGGATGTGATGCAGTGATGAAAATCATGAAATCCTATCAATATCCTAACAGATAATGCTATGTTAAAAAATTGCAAATGAGAATTTTAACAATGTGATAAAGATACGACTAGCTTTAAATGTACAAAGCCTTTCACTCATTGTATTGTCTTTATTGTGGACTAAACCATGTGTTGTCTAGTGTGGCATTGTTTATATTGTAAGTTATAGGTATCGTATTGAACAGTGTATTAACTAGACACTAAAAACAATTGTTCATTTACTTCAAAGCTTTCCAGATGAGAAGAGATTCCCTGAATTGCACAGCATATGGGTGAAGATTTTCAAGAATATAAGCAAACTTATGCCAGTGAAGTTTGTTCCTATGAAAAATAGTCGTTTGTGTTCAAAGCATTTTAGTGCTGATATCTTTGAGGAGGATTACAGCCAGAGACCAGTGTTAAAGCCATATGCTGTACCAACAATCTTTAATGATTGCTTTGGTCAGCTTGGTTGTGATCTTTACAGTTTATTATCAGTACAATTAATGGTCATACTGTGCATGAGGGGTAATTAACCCATTAAGCGCCAGCGCTCTCCCCTTGACAAGTAAAATTGTCTGGCGTTAGACAGAGTAAAATACTAAAATAGGGTGCTTCGCCACTCAATTGGTTAAATTTATTCCTTAATTTTTCTGCTAACAACTTTAAATTATTTGTACACATTTTGGTCTGTTTATCTAAGCCAAGATTGCTACATTTACATTTATTTTGACCATTTGTGTTAGTGTACAAATTAGGCTAGCATAATTACTGTAGGTGATGACCATCAAGTAGGGATGGTTGAGCAGTTTATTTAATTAAATTGGTGTTGTATGTGTTTAAAAATAAAGAATAAATTTTGTTGTGATTTGAAATTGAATATATTATTTATTATTATTACTAAATGTAATTATATAATTATCTTGGAAAATCTTTTTTTGAATAAAATATTTTTTTTAATAATTCTTCACTGTCGTTCCAATTGAAGTGTTCCTCAAATATTGATTCAATACATTACCTCGGGCTAACCAATTCATTTGATTAAGTTCCTCAAGATATTCATACACTTCCTAGTATAATTGTAAACTTCCTGTTAAATGGTTTGAATGCACCAATCACCTTTTTTGTTTGTGCAACTAACCAATCATAAATAGAAAGGAAGTGACCAGAAATTATTAAATACTTGGAATTGGCTCTTTCACAGGAAGTGTATGAATATCTGGAGCAACTTGATGAAATGAGATGCTTGTGTGATGTTACTCTGAGTGTATATCCACACCGGGCAGGCTTGAAAAATATGCCTGGCCACAGTGGGATTTGAACCTATGACCTTTGGAATACTAGCCCAAATGCCAATGCTCTGTCAACTGAGTTACGCGGTCAGGTCGGTTTGAATCCCAATGTGGCTTGGCACATTTTTCAAGCTTGCCCGGTGTGGATATGTACTCGGAGTAACATCACACAAGCATCATATTCACAAATATCATGGTTATTAGATTACACTGATATCGAAAGAACTAGACTCAGTTCCGAAATATCGCATACTCGAACTGCCCCGACTGTATAGCTCAGTTGACAGAGCATTGGGCCAGTATTCCAAAGGTTGTAGGTTAAAATCCCACTGTGGCCAAGCATATTTTTCAAGCCTGCCCAGTGTGGATATCCACTCGGGGTACGTAACATCACACAAGCATCTTATTCACCTGAGTACATGTATTACACCAACACAGCAAATATCTTGATGGAATGAATTGGTCAGCCCGAGGTAATGTATTGAATCAATATTTGAGGAACACTTAAAAATAAGGTATGAATCGCATAAAATGCAGATATCAAAATCAAACATTGTAACTCGAGCATAAATATGTGCATATTTGTTTTAAAAGGCGATTGTTCGTTGAATGTTCAATGAAATAGTGCCATTGCCTTTTACAAGGAAGACCATTATAAAGAAATACACTTGACTTTCTTCATTGCCACCTGGTACTTAGTACAGATATCCCATATTTTCTTGATAGAATATACCCGAAAGCGGAATACATACAGGTATAAAAAACTTTAATGGTGATATAAGTGCTTATTCCAACGAGTTGCTTCCACACAATTTACTAACAGAATAAACTGGTAAATCTCTAAAAAAAACCTTTGTCACTCAGGGAAATTTATAGCAATACGGTTTTCAACAAGCTATATTTGTTTAAGTTTACTTACTGGAGATTATTATAATACTTGTGTTTTAAAGAATCTTGATAATCAGTTGCAACACAAATAATTGACAAATTGACAAATATACAACAAGAATTGATAAATCGTTTCAATGACTTACATGCTTTGTCCTTGTGGCCGTCATGCTCCATTCATGTCTTTTTCTATTAATGGCGTTCGGTCTTTATTGACTTATACGCGCAGTTAGAATAATATTAGGGAGCTTTAGATTTGACTACGAGTACGACTACGAGTACGAGATTTGATCGCGTGCGAGGAAATTACCGTAGTCGTTTTTGTTTCCATTCAAATGTTGCTGTTATAACAGTAAACCAACAACTAGAGAAAAAGTTTCATAAAGTAAATCTCCTGCCGACTAAAATCCCCTACAAAACGTGTAAATAAGTCATAACATTAAAAACAGGCCAGATATTTAGTATTAATATATTATTTGCGCCGGATAAACGCTATATAAATGCTACAAATTATTTTTGGAAAACAAAAAAAAGTCAACTTTCTTTGTTTTTTTTTGAAAAGTCGTCGTGAGGACTACGAGGTTTCTCCACAATTTCGTACTCAGATGGGCGACGGCTACGACTTTTTAGCGTCAGCACGGGATGGCGTAAGCATACAGCATGCGTTTAGCTTGACGAATCTCGTACTCGTAGTCGTACTCGTAGTCAAATCTAAAGCTCCCTATTATTTTCAGAAGGACGAAAATCAAAAATATACTCTCTGTCGACTAACTAATATAAATAGTCAGTAACACAAGATCACTGTAAAATCCAGGGGGGGTTGAACTTTGTCGCCCACAGACATTCGAGCCATGGGTCAGTGGAAAGCCCCATGAAAATAGGTCGATTGTGACGTCAAATCCGCCATGTTTTTGGCCACACACTTTCGTCGAGAGCACGATCTCCAGATATATAAGTATAGCTCAGTGATCCATACTCAACTTGCCACGAGAAACGTCAATTTGACGTTTCTTTTTCATACCCACCCACCCACCCTAGAAACGTCAATCCATGGCAAGAAAACAGCAAGTGTGAATACTCAAGAACACTTGTATTAACTTCCATATCATCCTTAGCCTGATAACAGACCTACTTTTCGCCCACCCTAAAATTCGCGGGTTGAGGGAAAGGGCGAAACGTAGGTCTGATGAAAATGTTGTCAAACGTGCATGCCGCCCACTTTGCATTTTGTAATAATTAACGATAATGATTGACACATTTATTGTAACACCTAAAAATACAATGAAAGTTGTCGATTTCATTTTATCGAAAATGTGTAAACAAAGTTGATAAGTACAGACGTTTGAATAAATATTTAAAATATTGGTAACCCCATGCACTCTGTTGCGCTGACATACATATTGATATATTTGTATCATTGTATGACTTGTATCAGTTTTATTATGATTATTCACAAAAATTATCTCATTTTAATAGAATTATTGTATTGTATATTACAACGGAAAGACACAACGCTGAAGTATTTGACGCGTACTGTATACTACCTGCGAACCCAGACGTAATTTCCTCGTTTCTCGCTCAGTTATTTTTCGACATTTCTCGCTCAGTTATTTTCTGAGCGAGAAATGAGGAAATTACGTCTGGGTTCGCAGACTACACTCTACTCCCCTCTAGTTTTGGTTTTTAGACGGTAGATACTCACTGATAAACTAGTTGTCGCTCGACCTCACAAAATACTTAGAATATTGCTCTATATGCATATTGTATATTTATATGGGTTGATTTACCGTTGAAATATATTCTGATTTCTCAGTCTTTTCAAATCTTTTCATGTTAGCGATCAACCAATCACAACCAATTTCACTGTGAATTAGCAAATCAGCTTTGTCGACCGCCTGGCGACGACTCATGCACTTTTGACAACATTTTCATCAGACCTACGTTTCGCCCTTTCCCTCGACCCGCGAATTTTAGGGCGAGCGAAACGTAGGTCTGTTATCAGGCTATATCATCCTATATATCTCATAAAGCACTTTTGAATAGAGACTATAGCGAACAATATACAAACATAACAAATAAATCTAAAGCCGTGATTTACCACTTGGCGAAGTAAGAAAGTTTGTTTTTTTCCGTTGACAAGGGAAAATATTGTACAGGTTTGCGTTTTTAGTACATACGGTATTACAAATAGAATTTTATATTATTTTAAGAATTTTATGTTGTACAGTACTTTTATAATATTCAAAAGTGTCAAACTGCCACAGGCAAAACGTCAAAGAAAATAACCCACACACCCACAAACGTCAAATTGACGTTTCTCGTGGCAAGTTGAGTATGGATGCTCCCCCTAAAATTTTGCTATTCATATTCGAATTTCGAAGTGTCTAGCTGGATTTGCTATGAGAATTGAAGTTAGATTTTTATGAAAATAAATCTAACCCTAACCCTAGACTGTCGAAAGTGGTAGGAAAAAACTTAAAAACCCCAGTGCAGAGGCCTTAAAATATCTTTTACAGGGCGTCTGACAAAATGTTCGATGACGTTGAGTTTGGGTCGGAGATATGTTCGATGACCTTCAGTTCAGTTTTGACTCGGAAATTAAAGTCTGAATGACACAAATGAATATCAGCACACTGTATTAATTCTAAACCGACTAAATGGTAAATGAAGATATTAAATAATTTGTGTCACTCATACTTATTTCCAAGCCAAAATTAACTTGCTTGCAAGAACAGGTGTAAGACTTCGACAACTTAAGCCCGTTTTCCACTTCACCATTTCACTAGCACTTCGCCGCCCCGCGCTCGATCAGCCTATGTTAAAACAACATTTCCATGCTGTTTACTTTTTATACAATACTCAATTGTCCTTTATTTTCAATTTACCATACGAGCCTTACTGCGGATAGCCTGCGAACAGGCTCTCAAGCTGAATTGAGAGCCTGCATCGACGACTAATGAATTTGAATATCTGCGTCTCAAATCATGACGCGAAATTCTCATTGGTCAGATGCTATAATTTATATGTTTCCGCTGAGCTCTATATATGTCAACTGCTGAAGCACTATGCATAAAAACACATTAACTGATCAAATTGGTCTTGGCCATCTTATCTCAAAGCACAAAATGTTCTGTTTTGAGAAAACAGTATTTAAAACATTTAAACTTTTGCTTGAATATCTTATATTTCGAAAAACAGTATAAACTGTACGGTCTAAATTTAGTTTGCACGGTCTAAATTTAGTTTGCACGAAAGTTGTAAACACGCACACATATAAGGATAGACATTCCATATTTGGAAAAACGAACGTTACGGGGCAGATATTCAAATTCATTAGTTATCGATGCAGGCTCTCAATTCAGCTTGAGAGCCTGTTCGCAGGCTATACTGCGGATTGATTTACGTTGGACAAAGCTACAGTTCGGTCGTACACCAATACACTTGGGTCGGACAAACAGTAAACCCCAGTTTCATTTATGTCAGACAGAATGTCCGGTGGCTTCCTCACTACGTCGGACAATGTCACGAATGGGTCGGACAATGTCCGTGACCGACCGATATTTTAAGGCCTGCAGTGAGTTATATTATACATATAAATACTAGATGCCTGGCAGTCTGGCATTTCTAGTTAGGGCCTGTCTACTGTATGTGAGCCAATTTTCCTGGCAAGGCAAATTACTTAAGGCAAGATCTCAGCTATTATGGAAACCTGCTGGTTTTCCTGGGTCACTGTTGACATGTCACAATCGGGTAACTCGCCTTGCCGAGATCCTGCAGAAAGAGGCGAGGTGAATATTTCATCATGCATGCAGAGTAACTCAGGCCGCATTTACACTATGATGCTACGGCAAATTTACTGTAGCGTAGTGATTTGCATTCGGAGTGTCAAACATAGTTGTCTGTAGTTAATATGCTACGGCAAACCACTCCATTATGGTGTAATATACCTATCAATGTTAACCCTGAGGGGATCGGACAAAAGGTGTGGATTTGATCAAGTAATTTTTAAAATAAACTTTGTCTAAACCGAGAAAATCAAATCTAAAGTTTATGTAAATTAACATGATTTTTTATCACATATAAAACCACGACACGCTTATGATTTTTCTTTGTGTTTTGTTTAAGTACTATTTAAAACACGAGTAGGAGTGTTTTATCAGATATAAAACGCGAGGCACAGCCAATTTATTAGCCTGTGTTCCAGTCCACTACACTGTGGTGTAGCGGACTGGAACACAGGCTAGTGTTTTATCAGATATAAAGTCACTTCACATACATAATATGGCTGACATGATTTGCCTCAAGGTATATGAATTATCAATGAGTATTTTAAGTAGTGTTTAATAAATGAGCAGGAGTGTTTTATTAGGTTTAAAGCCACGAGCGCACAGCGTGAGTGGCTTTAGACCTAATAAAACACGACATGCGAGTTTATTAAATGGCATCAAACACGACACAAATTCAGTAGATTTACTGCGTTATTAGTATTCTTTATATAAAAAATACTAATGAGGACACGACCACAATAGATACTGCCTTATTAGTATTCTTTATATAAAGAATACTAATTAGGAGTGTTTTATCAGGTTTAAAGCCATATTTATATACGTTTATATTTGTTATACTTTTAAATTATACTGTCAAATGTATTTTGTAATTTCCCTATCACCTGACATATAGAGTGCACCAGAAACCAAGTACTTCAGGAATACAATTTCATCCCGGGGGTGGGGAATTTTGCCCAGGAATTTTCTTCCGACAGAGTGGCATTTAACATTTCTTTGTAAAAATGACAAATCCCCCCCTTGCCCGACCCCCCCCCCCCAGGGTTAACATTGATAGATGCATAAACACAATATAAGAAACATAGTGAATTTAGTTTTAACGAGATTGATTTCCGTAGTTAGTACGCTACGGCAACACTCCGTTATAGTGTAGTAAATTTTTAACGGAGTGTTAGCCGTAGCGTCATAGTATAAACAACCGGCCTGAGTTCCACATAAGCAGACTGTTTGTTTGTACCACCCAAGCGAGTAACTCAACTTGGCGGCCTAATTTGCCTTTGTGTAGACACACCATTAAAGTCAGATTGAAAATAAACTGATCCAATCCTTACCCTAGCCCTGAGCCCCAACCCCTAAAGGTTGAACAGAGTTAAAACTAGTTCAGAAAAAAAATAAAAGTTTTAAGAACTGCTTAGAACTAAAACAAACATAAAAATTATGACATAAAGCAGGCTTGAACCCGGCATCTAGAGCATCGCAGTTCCACTCTTTAACCACTAAGCTACCGACCGGCTCACTGAAAATTATTGCAAAAAACCTTAAGTTTAGAGCTGTGCAAACTCCAGTTATTTAGCCTAAATAACTGGAGTTTGCACAGCTCTAAACTTAAAGGGGAAGTCAAGTCCGTAATGTAAACAAACGGTTTGTTTACATTTTGAACTGCTGTATTTTTTAAAATATGATGTACTGTCTGAATATCTAACACCATTTTGGTTCGTTATGCTTCTACATGAATATGAAATAGAGTTTGTGTTCAAAAAAATTCGAAACATTCAAAATTTGGGCAATGTTTACCTCAGAGGGCCCTCTATTGTTATGCGCAGAACCGATGCGCAGAACGGACTTGACTTCCCCTTTAAGGTTTTTTGCAATAATTTTCAGTGAGCCGGTCGGTAGCCTAGTGGTTCAAAACTCCGGCCCGGCAAGAAATTTTTAAGGAAATTCCATATTTAAAAGTGGAAGCAGGCAAAAGTATTTTAGTGTAATTTCAGACTTCATCTTTTTACTACACTATTATTATTAAAGATGCGGTAAAGTCCGTTCTGCGCATATATTCTGCGCATCAACACATTTCATCAGTGGAATGTTGTTAATATTTCGCCCCTTTCGAACTTTCTTGAATTGAATCTCTAGTCTGCATTCATTTACAAGCGTAGCGAACCGCAAGAGTGTTAAAAATTCAGTATAATATCTATCTAATCATATTTTACAACTGTGGCACTGAGTTCAAAATGTAAACAAAGCGTTAAAGTCCAGGCCTCGAAATAATTGCCGGTCACCGGTCACTGACTGGTAAAATTTCACAGTTTGATCGGCAAATATCGTCGCCTGGCGGATATGCGTGACCGGTAAATTTTTTAATAAAAACATACGTTCAAAAATGGAGCAGATTGTTGATTTCCAAGTTTCCAAAGTTGTGTATGTCCGTCTAAGGCGCAGGCTAATAAGGGCAGCGAGGTGACACATTTTGTCGTACGGATACGATATACCGCAAGCATTGACCATGCATTGTGCCTTAAGGCTGCATTTTAAAGTGCTTATGAAACGAAATTTTTGCCTCATTTTTTATTGTTTTATTAAAAGGTACTGCTCAAACACAGAGTAGATAAGACATACAGAGACGTAACTGACCGTTGTAAACACTGCGGAAGATTACGTTATCATGTACCCACTTTTTTTCAGGCGACCGGGCAAAAAATGATCAACTGCGCGTGCTCAGCAAGTTTAAAGTGAGTCGTCATCAGGTCGTCATCCAATCAGATGCATGCATCTAGTAACTTGCCGAGCATGCGCACAAAAAAAGTGGGTACACTAGTTACGTCTCTGTATGTCTCTACTCTGTGGCTCAAATGACGAAGAATGACGTTTACAGTTTATTCGT